CCAATATTTTTTTTTCCCTATGCCAGGGAAGTAAACAGCCATGACGACCCTGTTCTGGCTGTTGGGGCCAGGTAAGGGGCCCTGGCTGGGCTGGCTCTTCCATCTGGTGGAGTACAGCAGGGCAGAGCGAGGTATGTGTGTAGCTGCTTGGCACAGGACAGGACAAGACACATCCCCTTTTCTCCAGTGCCAGGTAAGATTTTGCTGTTCTCTTCAGATTTTGCTGTTGAGTTCTCTCCCTCCCTTTGCTGTCCCAGGCCTCCTCTTGCCCCTGCACCAGCAGGGACATGACACAGCCGGGCACCTCCCCCCTCCCAAGATGCAGTGCCCCCAGCTCCCTCCCCAGCTAAGCTTGACTCCTGTGCAAGCAGTGGCATCAGCACTGTGGGAGCTCCTGCTCTTTGTAGTGCAGGAGCAGTTCCACCAGCCAGCAGTTGTAGGATACTCTTACCCTCTTATATAGACCAGTCACTACCTAGCATATACCCCTGCTCTAACTCACTCCCTACAGCAACTGCCCCAGGTCCCTGGGGATGAGCGCCCCTATCTCTCGAAGCCTGCAGGCTGTGAGGACAGCCTGGACACCAGCAGGCCTTGCCTAGGCTGCCGTGTGGGCTTGTCCCTTGCCCTTGAAACAGGAGCTGGGAACCTGTCTATCTCCTACCTTCCTCGTTTCTCCTTCCCTGGGACTCTGCTGTCACATGCCGTAGCAAGTCCTCTTACTGTGCCCCTTCTATCCCACCTCTGCACGTAGCCTGTCCATACACCAGATCTAGTGGGAAGGACTGACAGGGACACATTCTGCTCACTTCGGGAAACGGGGGCTCAAATAGCCCAGGGCTCAGGCAAGTCACAGTTCAGCTGAGGTGGGAGCACTGCATCTCTGGAGGGCTGGAGGACAGACCCTGCTTCCACTGTGCATGGAGGGAGACCTGTCACCCCAGCCACATGGTAGAGTTCAGAGCAAGCACAGCTTGACAGCTGGGAGAAGTGCATGAGCTAGGGGTAAAGTCAAGGAACTTGACAACTGCCCCAGAAACCTCATGGATTTGGACAGGGCAGCTGAGACCCACCCCCAGCCCCCAAGTGTCACTGTGGCACCACTCTGAGCAGGAGGTCATGTGGCACCAACCAGACCAGGGGCTGAGGCAAGTTCTGCCATTGCAGTAAGCTTGGGGCTGGTTAGTTGTGCCCCTGCAGAACACACAGCTGGGGGGAGGGGCAGAGAAGGGCT